ATATTCGCAAGGTGTATTTTCTCTAGTCCTTTCTTTACAATAGATAACAAAACAGTAGGAAACAGGAAGAGATTGTGAGAAGGAAGGATTAAAGATTAGTTGAACATAGGTAGGATTGTAAGAACTCAGTGAGGTACCTGTGACAGTTCTGAAATTTTAACAAGATTCCCACATACACCCAAAGTTTAGCTTCAACCATTCTTCTAAATATGTTCAACTATATGTTTTGTCCATCTTCTTGATTTGGTGTGTTTAGCCAACTTCTCCCTTATCTTCCCCTTACATCCTTTTGGCTTCTGATACTTTCTCCTTGGATCTCACCATTCTCTTTATTGTCTTAATATACCAGAATAAATGAAATGAAATAATTGGACACAGACTCATAGAAAACCTAGTGTTCTGAGCAGATTTTTTAAATAAAACAATTCAGGAGCTTCTGAGTTTTGGTTATATCTAATACAAATATGGAATAAAATGGCATGCGAATGAAAAACAACATTAATAAGAATATTTGTTAGTGTTTTAAGATAAAGTAGTTCTCAATTAAATTTGGCAATAAACAAGGGAGTGTTAGTGCAGAGAAAGGGGATTCCCAAGCTGAGAATCTGGTCACATGGTAAACTCATAAGCTGTAGCAAAAATGAGGAAATAAGATTTATTGGGTAAAGAGAGGATGCTGGCTTTGAAATAAAATGGAATTTGTTACAGCTTATGAGTTAGATTCTCTAGGGTCCTACCTACTCGGGGGGTGGGGGGGGGCTCCTTGTTCCCAATGTTTACCTGTCTGTCCTGCCCAAACAGTTGAATGATCAAGAGGCAGATGTCTGATCCATTAGAAACCAAAATTTGCTCAGCCCTTAGAATGTTAAACTTTAGCTGAGACATCCAGAGAATTTATGGGAGTACAGACATGTTAACAGCAGAAACATTTGATTAGTCAGAGGAGACAGATCAGTGAAGATCATGACTTCTGACTACCTGGAGCTTTCAGACTAACAGGGAAAACAGACATGATAAAGTGTGAAAAATGAAATTTCATTCATTCATTGAACAAATATTTATGGAGCACTTACTATGCATAAGCGGACCATTCTAGGCAGGGAAGACAAAGGTCCCTGCTATTCATCTTTCCATACAGGATAGAAACAATAAGTAATAAACATAGAAGCACATAAAAATAATATGAACTTAAAAGATGATAGATACTATGGAAATAAAAGTTTAAAGGAGATCAGAAGGAAAATTATATGAAATGACTTAAAGGCCAGAGAAAAATGGCAGGTTGGACAAACTGAAAGATTATTACAGCTGAAATATGAACAAGGCCAGGGGCTCCAAATGAGTGTGAATAGGTTAGCCAAGCTAGATTGTTAAGGACTTCCTAAGGCATTTTGAGGATTTGATCTTTATCCTAAGGCAATCCAAAGCCACTTAAGGATTTTAAACTATAGACTGATGTGATCACATTTGCACTTTAAATTTATCATTCTGCCTGCAACCTGGAAAACAAGTTGGGAAGCCCACAGCAGTGGGCAGGAGAGATAAGTTAGGAGGCTCTTATCCTCATCCAAGCCAGACAAAAGTGTCCTTGCCTAGCTTGTGTTTCCTGAGTCAGACAATGGTTGCGTTTATCATAGACATTCAGCTTCTCATATTTAGAATAAGGTAATACCCATTGTTAGGATTTAGATTTGAGGTGTCGCCTGAAAGCTCCTGTGTGAGACAATGCGGGAAATGTTCAGATGTGAATTGACTCAATTGTAACCTAATTAGTGGATTGATCCATTTGATGAATTCATAATTTAAATGGATTAATAGTTGGTAAGTGTAGGCTGGTAGAGTGTGCCTCAACCTCTGAAACCATGAGCCAAAATAAACTTCCCATCCTTTTGGTCACAGTGAAGAAAAGCTGACGAATATACCTGGCAAATTTTCTTTGGCCTTTGATGTGACATAAAGACAATTGGAAATGTCCACTCCCTTTTTATTGGTTTTATATCTAGTAAGTTTAATTATGCCTCCTCATCTTTAGGAAGAAAAATGTAATATGAGGTATTTCAGGAGCTGTGGCAACCATTGTCCTTGCTGGAGTTTACCTTTACCCGGACGTGAATTGCCACTCTCAAGTTCTGAGAGAGCTAAAACAGAACACAGGTAAACAAGGCATGCATTGCTTTATTAACAGGGTCTTCGTGCTAAATCCTCATACTTTTTCTCCTAATAAGATGGTTCAGACAGTGTAGGAGAAACCATATATTCCTTTTCCATTCTTCTATTAAGTTGATTAAAGTTATATACTGGTAAGCTGTGGGCTATTTGGCTTCTTATTTTATGATGATATTTTGATATTCTCATATAATATTCTTAAAAGGCAGGGACACKAGGCAGGTGTCTTGCCTCATTGCTGCACAAGCAATTTAGCATYTTTGCAGTTTCATAAGTCCATGGAAAGGTTAATCCTCCCCAGCAGTTTTCCCAGTGTTTGACTTCTAGCTTGGGYACTGTTCCCACCTTAAGAAACTAGTTCCTAATCTCATTTGTCCAGGATCTAGCACAAGTTCTTTCAGTTCTAGACAACCAGACAGAAATTGCATGCAACCTTCAACTCCATTGCTTCAGATCTTGCCTCTCCCACATAACAAAGGGGGAGAAAAAGACTTTTCAGCTCTCATTACCATCTCTACCAAAATTTCCCTTTCATTCTTGAGGATGTGGAAAAGGGAGGGGAGGACTAAGAACCTCCTTCTGTGATGTTGGGACCTGGTTCCCTGTAGCCCAGTTGAATGTCCTTGATTCTTGAGAAATCTTCTTTTCCTAGGGATGCTGGAGGGAAGGAGAATGGAGCTTAGGAAGGACGTGGCTTTTAACTGTTCCCATTGCAATCTCTTATTACCAAAATGTACTTTTTAAACATAGGTTTCCATCTTGTATTACTTTGTGTCTTGGAGTCTCTCCCTCGTGAATTACTTTGCATCTTGTTTGAAGTGAATCATTTTAAAATTTATATCCTGTCCTACTTCTATTTCAAGACTTTACTTAAAATATCTTTTTTTCCTCTTCACCCTGCTCAGATTTGCATGAACATTTTATGCATTTCACACTCTTTAAAATGAAGAAAATAATATGCCAATCTGAATAGTCATAAAATCAAACTCAGAATATTGGATTTGATTTCCAGCGGAGTGGACAATTCCTATTGCTATCTGCTATCTCTATTGTTTCTGTAACAATTAGGAAGAAGACGTGGACTAATGCAATAAAGGAGTAGAACACAAATTTGGAAATATTCTCTATTTGATGGAACCCAGCAGAGTGGGTACTTGCTCCTTGAGGGCAGGTAACTTGCTTTAACTCCCTTTGTATCCACTACTCCACTCAAAGAGTTAATCACACATATAGGAGTTACACACTGTATATAGATGAATCAAAACTAAGATAAATAGTTACGATACATATAATACTATGCTTAATTTTACTAGAAATCCCATTAGGGATGGCCAAAGAAGATATTTTTGACTAGAAATTGAGTGGAGTGGTGGGGTTATATGTATTTATCTAGCATTAGTGTGTGGACACAATCATGGAAAGTGAAATCCAGGAAGGGAAGTACTGTAGCACTGACGAGAATTCAGACAAATGGTCCTCACATCCAAGTATGCATCAAAATCCCCTGATTTGGTGCTTCACAAGGTACAGAAAATGCTAAGCCCTACTTCTTGGAAATCTCCAATTTAGTTTTTCTGGGTGGGGACTGACAATTTTCATATCTCCATCTCCCTTCTGGGGAATAACTGCTGCTACTGATCCTGATCAAGGGAGCACATTTTGAAAACTACTAAACCAGACCTTGAAGATTTGGCTCAGCTCATACAATGTGAAGAGGCTGCTTGCTCTGTGATTTGCTCAGAGAAGGGATGAGTTTCTAGATTTCAGAGAGCAGTACTGAGATAATGGAACTGAGTGGATAGTTTTAAGGGAATAGTTTAAGGGCCTTGCTTCCTCTTTATCTATAGGACTGAAAACTGTACTCTAGCAGCAAAAGAGAATGGCTTGGAGAATCCAGATGATAGTTAAAGTCAGCTGACAAATGAGGTGGATAAACAGAATGCATGGAATTGACCTAGTAATACTTTTAGCTAAGTTAACCTAATTTAGCAATGTAAAAGCATGTACATACATCTAAGCTAATTTATACACAGCTTTATTCCCTAAAATGTTCTTATGCTGCAAAAAAAAAAAAAAGTTTATGCCCTTAACCTGACTGTGCATGTCAAGAAAAAATGGAGAAGGTAGAAAAAGGGGCAGCCCAGGGAGAGGGGAAAACCTATTTATCTAAGAAAAATGATTTAAAAGGACTGTGCCCACTGGTTGCTCCCATTTCTTCCCACTCAGTTCATGCTATCTCCCAGGTAAAAAGACTTAGGAGGTTTCTGAAAAGTAACAACAGCTTCAGGAAGCAGGTGGCATAGGGACACGTTTCACCTTATTTCAGTATTGAAATGGAAACTACCTAAAATTCAGAACTGATTTCATATGCTTCATTATGCTCAGCTAATTAGGTTTTTTGAATTTTAAATCATGAGTATAAAGTTTTCAATACTGTTTTTAGTGTTTCTTCCAGATGAATGTTGTATAATACACTAATTACTTTGGACTTTGGGGGACATCAACATTTATTTTCTTCACAGAATTTTGTGGACTCAGGTGGATTTTCTCAATTTGCCAACAAAAAAGGGAAGAGTGGTATGACATTAAATGAACTATGCCTAAAAAAGATAGAAATGTTTTAGTCGCCAAATGGTCAAAAAGCTACATTTCATTTTGTTTATGTTTTTGTGAATTTGAAAATAGAAAAAAAAATACCTATTTAGTGATCCTTTCAAGGAAAGCTATAGCTCTGCTCATGTATAAAAAGCCACATAAAAGTGACTCTGGAGACCTTGGCTACACGTTCAGCGGTCAAATATTTCAATGCTTCGCTGCTCCCGTTCCTGTTACAGGTACATGTGACAGTGCTGCAGCTATGAGTGGAATTTTAAAGAGGAAGTTTGAAGAAGTTGACGGCTCCTCTCCCTGCTCCTCTGTGCGAGAATCAGATGATGAAGTATCCAGCAGCGAAAGTGCTGACAGTGGGGACAGTGTCAATCCGTCCACATCTAATCATTTCACCCGTGAGTACCCAGACCGTTCCTGAAGCTGAGTGCATGGTGCTACGGTGAAGGAATGTGTCATCCTGGACACTTGTATTTTTACCTTTGTTGCTATTTTTTTTAATTGGTTCTTTAATTGTTATACATGACAGTAGAATGCATTTTGAAGTATATATGAAATATATCTTGCCTAATTTAGTCCCCATTATTTTTTTTGAAAAGATCAAATAGAAAAATAAATTCAAATTGAAATATTTTTGAATGAGCTTTTATGACTTTCAATAATTTTTGGCAGTAGAGTATTTGGTTGTGTTTTCCAACTGATCCAATGAGAATGGATATTTTATTATTACTATGTTTTCGAGGAAGCATCTAGGACCCTGGGGTAAGGAGCAAATATGGAATACATCCATATTTGGAAACATGTCTCCTCCAGAAACTGAAACCATGTTTGGGGGTGGGGGATACTGCATTTAGGAGCGAAAGGCCTCAGTTGTGGGGAGAAAGCTTAGACAGTCGTGTGTTGAGAAGAGATGGGGAAGATCAGAACTCCCTGGTGTGCAGCCTGCAGCCTCTTCCCTGCTCATCCTTATTAGCCATCAAGAAAAAAAAAAATATATGCTTTCTCTTTGATTCATTTTTTCTACCACACTGTAAGGTAAGCCCTTCCTGGCAGACAAGGTAATGTGAAGTTGAAAGGACTAATGTGAAAAATTCTTAAGCTAAGGGACACTGACTTGTAATAGCTAAATAATCCTTTTGCATGTGTTTCCTAAGCCGGAAGGTTTTAACCTGTCACAGTATAATGATAGATAGCTTATCTTGGTTCCTTAATTTTCTTATTGGTTTATTTTATGAATTTATGGGTCTATAATACCAAATTTAATTTGGAAATGTGGCAACTCCAAAAAAAAAAAAAAACGCCCAAATGATTCAAATGTGTTTATTTTTAAAGAGGTAGTAAAGAACTCAATAACTCTAGAGCATGAGATAAATATACTAAAATCAATAGCATTTTTTAAGCAATTAAACTAATTAGAAAATATGATGAAAGGACAATTGTAACTACTATAGCAGGAAAATCATAAACTATTTGGGGACAAAGTTATTGTGTGATGTAGGTGATTTACAAATATGTATCTCATGATGACATAAAATGAGCTTGTGCTTTTAACAAAAAAAAAAGAACATAGATATTTACTTCTGCGGTTTTAATACTAATAGTGACAATAATAATACCTCTCCAAAGTTTTGCAAAAATCAAGAACAGCACATGAGATGATATACATAAAGGAACTTTGTAAAATGTGAGGTACTAAGCACAAAAATTTTGACATAGCTAACATTTATTGGATACATTTTATGCTCCATTGCTAACTRAGGCTCAGAGAGTCTAGGCTGCCCAGGATCACACAGGACTTGAGCCTGCATAAATGCACATGTCCTGCTCCATAGTCTTTACATTTCCTGCTCATTCTGCTCCTTAATTGCATGATACTGGACCTATCTTTAAAATATATTTTATTATGAATTATAAAAAAATAGTAAAGAGGCAAATTATATTTCCGGTTATAAAGATATATAAAGCTATTAATGCTTTCTAGATTAATTTATAAATATGAGCATCCAATCTCAATAAAATCCTTAACCATATTTTCTTAGAAGGTGATAGAATGAAAAAAATCTATTTGGAGAAATAAGCTAATGCTAATAAGAGGATATTTTTTTAAAGGAAGGTATAAATGTTGACAAGCCCTTCCAGGTATCAAATTATAGTTAAAAATTATATTAATATATAATATTAATATAATTTTAACTATAATAAAATATAATAAAACTGAAGGTTTTTTCTCCTTCCAGTGTGTATCTTGTAGGAAACCATGGAAATTCCCAATATGTTATAAAGAGGAATTTTATATATATAAGAAAATGATTATTATTGAGCAATGGGAAACAAAATAAAATTTTAAAATAAATGATTATACTATTGGCAAACTCAAAAAAAGAAGTAATTTAGACTTTCATCTTATGACGCATGACAAAAAACATTCCAGATGGATTAAATAGATAAATACTTTTTAAAAAATCATAAGTGAAGTCGAATATTTGTGAGATATTTGGTGGGATAATTATATGAGCTTTAAAGTAATAGGCAAATAAATCACATTGGAAAACACTTAACATATTTAATAATGTAAAAATATTTTAAACCTAACTGCTACAAGAAARTAAAGCCCAAAGAAAGAAGAGAAAAAATTCATATTGGGAAAATATATTTCATATGGTCTAGGTTGATTTTTTAAATAGAATATATTAAATACGTATGTAAATATTTGAGATGAGAATTGAAATGCCCCTTCTTAAAGATAATCCAGTAGCAGGAAATATGATTAGCATGAACTTTAAGGCATTTAACAACAATAATAAAAAAGAAGATTAATAAATAATACTGAGACTTCAGCAAGACCTTGTCTGTCTCTAAATAAAATATGAAAAAAGGGCTGGGATGTGGCTCAGTGGTTAAACACCCCTGGGTTCAATCCCCTGTACCAAAGAAGAAAAAAATCTATCTATCCATCTATCTATCTATCCATCTATCTATCTGTCTATCTATCTATCTATCTATCTATCTATCTTCACAAGTCTGCACTTCAGAAATTTTTGTCTGAAAGGAGAAACATCAAAAACAAGGGGGAAGTCTATAAATAAAATTTTGGATGCTTTTTGGTAGGGTTAGGGTTAAGGTTAGGATTAAGGTTAAGTTTAGGGATAGGGTGTGGGTTGGGAAGGGAAAGTGGAAGAGTGTCGAAATGATCTGTTACATATGGTGACTCAGTGAGTATATTTTCATGATATTTATGAAGACTACATGGCAATATAYAAAATGCTTATGAGATAATGTTATGTAAGAAAAGAACCCAAGTTTCTTCTGTATTATTCAGCAAAGAGTATAAAATGCACAAAGGCAAAGAAAGATTTAGTGTGTAAGAATTGGAAGCAGTTCAACTTGTTGAAGGATTAGAATGATGGATAAATTTTTATATTTACTAATTCTTATTCTTGTTAATAGTCTATGCATTCCCACACAATACATGTTTCAAATTTAAACAGCAAAAAATAACTGGAGTTCACATTGTGTTGGTGTAGGCTAAATAGCAAGGGTTTGATGAGTTGAATTATACAATACTCTAGTCAGCTCACAAAGACTTTTTTTTTTAATCATTTATATGCAGAAGGTATTATTTTTCCCATTGGAGAAAATAGGCTTCTTTTTATGATGCCCAATAATTTATTGAAATGTTTCAGCACACCACATAATATCAGTGGTAGTGGCCTTGGTTAGTTTACCAAAATGCTGATTTAACTATACTAAATGGAGTCTGGTAGATACTGTCATTGATTTTTAAAGATAATTAAATAAATGCTTTACTTAGAAGTGCCCTTTTCATTGAATAGTCTTCTTTGTTCTCTGTATTACATTTTGGAGGAAATGATAAATTAGGAGAAAAAGAATCAAAATGCAGAAATTCTACCTAGAATATTTGCTCTATATAAGTGCTGAGCGTTTTAACCAGTGCAAGAGGTGTGGTTAGAATGGTTTCTTATTTCTAAAAATATATTTCACATTATTTGCTACTCCATAAATTCATATACATTTTAGGGACTATTTTATCTATTATATTATCTAGGTTAAGATATGACTTTATGTTCAATGTCTTTCTGATCTGAATCTATGGTCAACACCTTTCACAAATGTCGCCATCAATGAATTCTATTTCTTTACTTTTCCACTGTCAAAAATAAAGAATGTTGATCTTAGAATAAAGAATCTTTTGAAGACTATCAAATTTATTTATCATTAGGAAACAATTTAGCTTCATATTGAGATTTTTAAAAATGCAGTTACCTTTATTTAAATCTCACTCTTCATAGGGTTCATCTTTCAAACTAAAATATCTTATTACTCAATGCTTTACAAGTGCTAACAGATTGTATAATGTAACATTTTGTTGTTGTTACACATATAGAAATTGATAAAATGGTTTGGAACATGTCAGCAGCTGTTGTAGTAGAAAATTCCATGCTATTCTAAGCTTTCTGTTAAAATATTCAATTYGTAGCACACCACATTATGATAATAACAGCTTCAAAATGTAAATCTGTAAGAGTATGATGGCTTTTTACTTCATTTTTTTAATCCTGCTAGGCAACTACATACTTACCAGTTATTAACCAAGGTCATATCTTGCTCTTCCCCTGCSGTGGAAGCAGCAGATTCTGTGTGACTTTGGAATGCTTTGTTTCACCAAATCCCTGTGCTCTGTAGCCAATCAGCCTGTACTTGAGCACTGTGAGAAGTAGAGTTAAGGAGAAACTGGAGAAGGATGATTTGTTTTCTGCTTTCTCAAGGTTCTTGGCACTTCACAGGAGTAACAAGAAGCTGTATGATGAAACATGGTCCCAAAAGGAACATATTTTTCCTGCAACATAGCATTTCTACAAATAAATGTATCTCAGATAGGAAATAAAAAAAAAAATCAAGAGGTAAAAGGATAGACTTTCTAATTGCACTTGAAAGCATGCGGTGGATATCTTACAGAGGGTTAAGATTTTTAAATTTACAGAACAGTTTCACATTCTTGAGATATTTTAATGTTCAAAAGTTGCTGTGTGATTAGGAGTTATTATCATGTCCATTTCATATAAAAACTAGCAATCAGAGATGTATTTGTAATTTATCCAAGAGCTGAGTGTTACAATCTATGCTCCTCTCCTTCCCTATCTCCCTGACYTTCCTTTTCTCTCTGAATACACAGCATAAGTGCACCCGAGTCAGAGTGCTTCTTCACTACTGTTTCTTACCTTTGATTCCACATTTCATAGTAGGAGTGTACATAAAGAATCAGTGGAAAACAAATTTTGATGTGAAACTTTACTGGATGTATGACTGACATCTGTCTAGCATGTTCTCTTTAACACAGGGTTAAAATACTTTGAAGATTTAGATACATTTTCAACAA